CAAGACCATCCTGGCCAACATGGTGAAATCACATCTCTACTAAAAATACAAAAATTAGCTGGGCACAGTGGCACGCACCTGTAGTCCCGGCTGTTCAAGAGGCTGAGGCAGAAGAATCATTTGAACCGGGAGGCAGAGGTTGCAGTGAGCCAAGATCGTGCCACTGGACTCTAGCCTGGGGACAGATCGCGACTGCATCTCAGAAAAAAAAAAAAAGAAGACTACTCTGTTGCCACGTTGAGTTCGTCAGCTCTAAAGTGGTGAAATACCAAGATGGATTGTAGACATTTTCATAAAGGCAGGATTGTTTGGTGTCACCAAATTCAATATGTTAATGGCCACAGCGGAGGCTGACTCAATCTGCCTTTTATTCTGCCAGGCTATTTGATACTGCTGAGGGCTTACCTATTTCCTGAGGAAAAAAATAGTCATTAAAATGACCTCACAAAGACTATGATTTCAGGGATCATTTCTATAGCTCGGTACTAGAGAAGTTTCTCTTGTGTCTTGCTGGGTTTTTTTTGTGTGTGGTTTTTGTTTGGTTTTGTTTTTTTGCCTAAGATCTGGGAAACCACAGGCCGCGGTGCAGCGTTCTATCTGGACCCTGACTCTGGCTCTGGGTGTTGCTTCACTGCAACTTCCATTTGCCATTGGGAACTGTTCTGCTTTTCCTCTGGGAAAGTAAGAGAGAGAGGATGCAGTCTGAGGATTTTCCCTTCTTGTAATACAAAATAATAAGAACCATAGGGGACATGGCAAGTAAAATGTGTATAACTACCCCATCTAAATAACCCTATCATCTTTCTACTATCCTATAGATCTAAATAAGTATAGTATAAAGCAACTTAAATTAGGTAACTTAAAAAACTCTTTTTTTTTTTGATACTGAGTCTCATTCTGTCACCCCCAGGCTGGAGTGCAGTGGTGTGATCTTGGCTTACTGCAACCTCTGCCTCCTGGGTTCAAGAGATTCGCTTGCCTCAGTTTCCCAAGTAATTGAGATTACAGGCCTGCACCACCATGCCTGGCTAATTTTTTTTTTTTTTTTTTTTTTGTAGAGATGAAGTTTCACCATATTGGCCAGGCTGGTTTCGAACTCCCGACCTCAAGTGATCCACTCACCACTCCCCTCCACCTCCCAAAGTGCTAGGATTACAGGTGTGAGCTGCTGCACTCAAGCCAGAAAACTCTTAAAATCTGCTTTCCCAGCAAAAAACATGTTACACCCGTAATATGCTTTACATTCTCCAATGGCTTCTCTTCGCTTTTAGGCCAACATTCTTAATATGATCTTCGTGATCTTTCCCTTTTCTCCAACCTTACCTTATACTATATTCTCCCGACCCCTTCATGCTCAGTCATCCTGGCCTTCCTTCAGGTCTTTCAGTATGCCACAGGCCCTTTACACGTGTTTTCCCTTGGTTTAGGTTGGCCTCCTCCACTTGCCTTTTTTGCCTCTTAGCTCAGTAGACACTACACTAAGAAGTCATCTCATCCCAGACTCCCTCATCTCAGTAAGATTCCGTTTTTAAGGTGCATTCATCAACTATATTTTGTCACTTATCTCATTTAAGTGGTTGTCTTCATTACCTATTACTGCGTAACAAATCACCCCAAACTTAGCAGCTTAAAACCAGTATTATTGCCTCAAAGTTCCTGAGAATCGGGAACCAGGGGCAGTTCAGCGAGGTGGTTCTGACTCAGAGACTTTCCTGAGGCAGCACTCCAGATACCAGCCAGACTGCAGCCATTCGAAGTCTTGCCTGGGACTGGCAGGTCTGCTTCTAAGATCACGTAGGTGGCTGTTGGCCGAAAGTGTCAGTTTCTTACCCTGTGGGCTTCTCTGGCAGCTGGCTCACCCCAGGGCAAGTGATCGAAGAGAGCAGGTGAGAAGGAAGCTCCAATGTCTTTCATGACGTAGACTTAGAAGTCACTCACATGTTGTCACTTCTGCTTGACTCTGTTAAAAACATGTCTTTAAGTCCAACTCACACTAAAGGGTAGAGAAATTAGGCTCTACCTCTTACGGAAATGTTGTGATATGTTTTAAAACTATCTCACTTGTGTATTAAGATAAATGTCTACTTCCCTTACTAGACTAAGGCTTCCTTGAGAACCCAATAGAACTCCTGTTTCTATGGTTCACTTTGGTGTCCCTGGTATCTTCCAGGATGCCTGGCAGAGCATGGACATTCAATAAAAACTGACTATATGAATTAACGGATGAATGAAACTTTGCACTTGCATCCCAGCTCTGAGAACTTTCTACAAATTACACAACATTAGTTTCTGGTTTTGGAGAAAGGGAATCATCACAGCTGCCTCTCAGGTTGTTAAAATAATACAGCCTATACAAAGCACCTAGTATACTCTGGCACAAAAGGAGGTCATTGAATGTTCTTTCTGTTCTTCTTCCTTTCCTCAGTCACACATGCAATCCATCCGAAGCCCCACGGAGTCTACTTCTCATTATGTCTTTCCCATCCCTCTTAGTCTGCTACTCCCTTTCAGCTGCTGCCACTCTTAGACTCGCCTTGCACACACTTTTCTAACCATTCCCTGTGCCTCTATTCTCTGTCTGGTGGAATCCATCCCTAAATGTGCTAGGACCACATTTATCTTTGTCGTTTTTGCATCTTCTATTGCTGTTGCTCTACCCTGCACTAGCTAAGTGTATAATACATTTTGTTGACTTGAATTTCGGTTCTAGATCTCTTTCAGTTCCGTACTTGTACTGAGTTAATCATACACTCAAACCCAGGTACCACGATGAGCTAGAGAGACATGCCCTGCCCATACCAATGGTTATAAATTCTCTAGCTACGTGTAACCACATTCTTTTCATGTCTATACAAGACAAATTGTCCATAAATAGCAAATTCTTTAGTAGAGCAATTACAGACTATAATGTTACATTTTCTTTTAATTCTATCTCTAAAGCAAGTACCTTCGCCCAAATACTACAGTTCTAATAACACTGTAATACTTCTGTGCTCATTTTTATGCTCTATAATATTGTCATTATTCCTAATAGCAAGAATATTGCAAACATAATTGAAGACAGAAAATTCTTAAATGGTCTGCATTATGTAGATAATATGCAGTGGTTAAAAAAAACGATGGGTGGAAATTTGTCAAATTAACAAAAAAAATGATACAGATAATGTAAGAAATTCCATCTTCTGACATTTCTCTGACATGCTAGAAAACAAGATGATATTTTCATGTTCTAATGAATAAAAATCTGCTTAAAACATATACACCTAGGGAAATGCTTGCTTTTGAATGACAATTATATACCTTTGGGAAACAGTAAAAATTCAAGCCAACACCAGCAAAGATAAGAAAACTTACAGTGACTCCTTAATGTAATAATAGTTGTGTTCAAATATTTTTACTCAGTTAAATTATTTTTATTCTGGTAAAGCAAAGAGATTTTGGAACTATATTTCCCGCCTTCCCATTTTCCAGAAGGGACTATGACTGCTTGAATTCTGTAAATATATGCAACTGTCTTCAGATGAGCAGCGTCCAAAAACTAATCTTTACATTTAAAGATGAGTAACTTACCTTTCTTCCTCCCATTCTGCTGACTTGGGATTTGTATTAACCTAGTGAACAACTCCTCCCTTATATTTGTGTCTACTAGGCTCATACTAAAAAGAGCAGGCGAGTTACTGAAACAGAAGTTTCTTCCAGGCAAAGTAGAGACCTTCACCTTTGGTCAAATGTTAAAGCAGCTTAAGGGTGAATAGGTTCACATAACATAAAAACTTTGAGGTCTATTTAAAAGCTCCATTTCACAAATGAGGAAATTGAAGATTGATGTGCATAAGGGCCTCCCAGTTCTGCCCCATGTGGCAAACAACCTGTGGCCCTGCACCGTGCCTCCCGTAACATTTGCCCAAACTGTCCAGAGACTTGTCTATCCCAGGGCATATCAATCTCAGCACTACTGTCACACTGAGGTGGACAACTCTCTGTTGCAGGTGCTGTTCTGCAGGATGGTTAGCAGTATCCTGGACTTGGTCCTCTAGGTACCTTCATGCAGCTGTGCCAACAAAAACTATCTCCATACATTGTCAAATGTCCCCTGGGGGCAAAATCACCCCTGTTTCAAAACCACTGGTTTATCTGAAGTCATTTTGTTTTAATGAACTATTCCTTTTTTTCTGTTTTTTGGACAAATACCTGAAGATACAAATGAATCACATTCAGTATTGAAGCTCTGACTTGTTTATATGAGAAATCACAGTCTTTCTAAGAAATGAAACTTTAGGCCAGGCACAGTGGCTCACACCTGTAGTCCCAGCACTTGGGGAGGTCAAGGTGGGCAGGTCACCAGAGATCAAGAGTTCAAGACCAGCCTGGCCAACATGATGACACCCCATCTCTACTAAAAATACAAAAATTATCCAGGCATGGTGGCAGGTGCCTGTAATCCCAGCTAATTGGGAGGCTGAGGCAGGAGAATCACTTGAACCTGAGAGGTAGAGGTTGCAGTGAGCTGAGATCTCACCACTGCACTCCAGCCTGGGCAACAGAGACAAAGTCTCAAAAAAAAAAAAAAAGAAAAAGAAAAAGAAAAAAAATGGGGCGGGTGATGAACAATGAGAACACATGGACACAGGGAAGAAAGCACTACACACTGGGGTCTATTGGGGGGAATAGGGGAGGGACAGTGGGGGGGGGAGCTGGGAAGGGATAGCATGGGGAGAAATGCCAAATGTGGGTGAAGGGGAGGAAGGCAGCAAAACACATTGCCACGTGTGTACATATGCAAATATCTTGCATGTTCTGCACATGTACCCCAAAACCTAAAAGCAATAAAAAAGTAATTTAAAAAAATAAATAAAATAAAAATAAAAAAAAGAAAAAAAGTGGAACTTCACTTTTTTTTTGGCACGTGCAAATACAGCTAAGAACCAGTTTTGGACCAGGGTTAGGTCATCTCAACTTCTGGTACAAAGGAGATTAAGAAAAGAGCAAAATAGAAACCATCAGTTTTGATCCATGTTTAATGAAAAAAAAGTTACATGAATAGAAATGGACATATAACAAAGAGATCAATTTGAGAAAATATGGTGATAGGTGGAACAAGGAGAAACTGTTTTTATTCTGAATGTACCCACATATTCCTATTAGCTGTTATTGATCTAAAATATCTCCTTAAATCCAAAACAAAACAATAGTTATAAGTTCACAGATGTTTTCATGGGCACTCACCCAAGTAATGTCCAAACAACATTGTTCCATGTCCTCCCTTCCCCCAGAACACACACAGGCAAAGGCAGAGATGTTTACCGTGGGGTCACGTCCCATGAAGCAAATGCAGCCTTATCTGTTCATTATTACAACAGCAAGTTAGCATTGGCAAATGGGCTGTGGTTACAAATGTGATTTCTGCTAATAATGTCACCAAGAAGCTTTTAGGATATGTGACCATTTATTCTTAATACAATCAATCACTGAAGGATAAAAATCAGAGTATTATACTCTGGGGAATATAAATACATGCAGAGAAGTTTCTGTCAGTTTCAATTTGAGCATATTCGAAATATTAAAGGCATGAAATTTAAAAGTACGCATATGTGGAACTACAGTGAACATGTTACAGGTTTGTGGCGTGGCTTAACTCTGCTCAGCCCATGATTCTTAGCGGGGTCAGTCAATAGCCTGTTTTTATCATTTTCTACCCTGTTGTATGGCATGATCAAATCTTCCTAAAAAAGAAAAATATACATATTTTTGGAAAAGAATTCTGATCTCCAAAAACATATACTAGTAATAGTTTCACGTTAATGATCTCATTTGAAATACCTCTTCTCTCAAGCTAGAAGCTGGCAAGCAGTAAACTCATAGACAGTTGCCATGGGGTTAATACAGAGAAGCAATAGATCTGACTCACTATTCTTTTAAACTAAAAATCTTATGGCCAGCACCGAGCAGCCATCAACCACCTCGTATGCTCACAGTGAGAAACCGACAGTTAGGATGAGCCCTGCCTCTTCTGATACTGTATTCTAAGTTTCTCCAGTTGTTCCACACATTGAGACTGGGCCAACTTCAACGTCCGATTCTCCTCTGTCAGAGCCTCAAATTCCCGAACCAGCTCAGCAGCATCCACCTTCTCCTTTTCTGCCTGATCCAACTTGGCAATGAGCTCTTTCCTGAAGGTTCGGGGTACAGGGCAGGAAGAAGCACAGAATTCAATGCAAACAAATAAAATTATTAGCATGATGGAAGTAGAAAGATTCATTCTGCGCTTCTGAATGTTTACCCATCTCTACTTGCCTCCAATGACTTTTATTTGTCCAGCTTTACAAGTTTTATATCTCTTTATTCTAGCATCTCTACTAGACACATCTAAAATACTAACCATGCACAAAAAGTCACATAGGTTCTTTAACAGTCAAAAACATGATCATTTTAAGAATACAAAAAATTATAAAAATAATAATTTAGAAAAAAATTCTGTATATAATTTTTCATAATTTAAGATGCTGTCTATTGTCTTTTAGGGAGGACAACTATTGTTTTCTCTTGGCTGAGACTTTGTCCCCCAAATTCAGTTGTTATCTTCCTTTGTTTCCCATACCTGAGTTGAACAAATTTCAATAGACTTCTTTCAGCTACAGAATCCCAACTCTGTCCTTGTAGACATTACCTCCTATGCCTTTCCCTAATCCTTACATATACATTGCAGCCCAAATTAACAAAACAATGTGTCCACATTTGATGCTGGCCTGACTCTAGAATTGAGGAAGCAGGCTGAAGGCACTGTAGGAAAATTATAATGACAACACTAAAGAAACTCAGTGTTATCTTGCTGTGGAATCCTTTTTCAAAGAAAATCATACCCTGAAGGGACGCAAATAAAACAGACAAAAGTGGACCTTCTCTGGTTGATCTTGGTACAGTCCTGTGCCTCACACCCTCTCCCTCCCCAATCTGTGAGAGACTCCTCTGTACACAGTTTAAAAGCCTCTGCCTTTGGGAAAATCCTAAATAATTAAATTCTTCTGGTTAAACATGAAAATTATTAAAATCTCCCCTTATAAGAAATCTCGGAATAAATATCATGACTAAAAACAAATTGAAAATGCACTAATTTTAGCTTATGCCTTTGCAAATTACATACGCACCCTTTTGCCCCATCCTGATAGGCTGTTGCTTCCCCAATCATCTTTCTTTTTTTTTTTTTTTTGAGACAGAGTTGCTCTGTTGCGCAGGCTGGAGTGCAGTGGCATGATCTCAACTCACTGCAACCTCCACCTCCCAGGTTCAAGCAATTCTTCTGCCTCAGCCTCCTGAGTAGCTGAGATTACAGGTGTATGGCAGGATACCTGGCTAATTTTTTATATTTTTGGCAGAGACAGGCTTTCATCATGTTGGCCAGGCTGGTCTCGAACGCCTAACATCATGACCCGCCAACCTCAGCTTCCCAAAGTGCTGTTATTACAGGTGTGAACCACTCTGCCCAGCCCCCAATCATCACTTTTACATTTTTAAAAGACATGAGAATACAGGTCACATTGATTTTTATAGCCTTATATGAAAACCCCTTTTTAATGTTTTGCCTGAACACATTAAAATTACATAACATTTTTCACCTCAGAAACAAAAAGACAACCAAATTAAAATGGGCAAAAAAAAAGCTCTTTAGAGATATTTCTCCAAGAAGACATAGAAATGGCCAATAAAGCACACAAGAACCCCCGCAACATCATTAGCCATCAGACAACTGTAAATCAAAACCACAAAGACACATTGCTTCACGCCCAGGAGGGATGACTAGAATCTAAAAGACACAGGAAGTGTTGGCAAAGGTGTGGAAAATTTGGAACCTTGATACACTGCTGGCAAGAATATAAAATGTCAACTCTTTTGGAAACAGTCTGGCAGCTCCTCAAAAGGTTACACATTCAGTTGTCACATGAGCCAACAATTCTACTGTTAGGAACCTACTCAAGAGAACTGAAAACATACATCTACCCCAAAACTTTTATACAAATGTTTATAGCAGCGTTATCCACAACAGCCAAGAAGTGCAAACAACCCATTACATGTTCATTAACCTATGAAAGGATAAAACATTGCATATTCATACAATGAAATATTATTCAGCAATAAAAAGTACTGACGCATGATACAAAGTGAGTGAACTTTAAAATCATTATACTAAGTGAAAAAAGCCAATCACAAAATATTACATACTATATGATTCCATTTCTACAAAATGTCCAGAATAGGCAAATTCATAAAGGCAGAAAGTAGATTGTTGGTTGCCAAAGTCCAGAAGTCAGGGGTCAACGGAGTGTAACTACCAAAGATTTCTTTCTGGAGTGAAGTAAACATTGTAAAGTTAGTGACGGTTGTACAACTCCGTGAACATGCTGAAAACCACCGAACTGGAAAAGCCAGGATATAGGATAAACCTAAGTGTCCAGTGTTCATCAACAAAAAAATAGGTTTTTTTCATGTGGTGTGTCTATACAATGGAATAGAATTCAGCCATTTTAAAAAATGAAATCCTGGGCCGGGCTCGGTGGTGCACGCCTATAATCCCAGCACTTTGGGAGGCCAAACCAGGTGGATCACAAGGTCAAGAGATCAAGATCATCTTGGCCAATATGATGAAACCCTGTTTCTACTAAAAATACAAAAAAAGTTAGCTGGGTGTGGTGGCAGGCACCTGCCCAGCTACTTGGGAGGCTGAGGCAGCAGAATCACTTGAAACCAGGAGGTGGAGGTTGCAGTGAGCCAAGATCATGCCACAGCACTCCAGCCTGGCTACACAGCGAGACTGCATCTCAAAAAAAAAATGAAATCCTGTCATTTGCAACAACATGGATGAACCTGGAGGACATTATGTTAAATGAAATAAGCCAGGCAAAGAAGGACAAATACCACATCATCTCGCTTATATGTGGTATCTAAAACAGCTGCTCTCATTGATGTAGACAGTAGAATAGTGATTTCCAGAGGCTGGGGAGGGCGGTAGGGAGAGAAGTATGGGAGAGGCTGTTCAGTGGGTACACAGCTAATTAGACAAGAGGAATAACCTCTCGTATTTTCCTGCACAGTAGGGTGACTATAGTTAACAATAATGTACACTTCAAAATAGCTAAAGAGAGGATTTTGAACGTTCTCACTACAAAGAAATGACAAATGTTTGAGGTGATAATATGCTAATTACACCAATTTGATTATTACGCAATGTGTCCATGTATGAAAACATTTCACTAGATCCCATAATTAAGTACAATTACTACACGTCAATTAAAAACAAAACAAAACTGACCAGGCTCACGCCTGTAATCCCAGCACTTTAGGAGGCCAATCACTTGAGGCCAGGAGTTTGAGACCAGCCTAGCATGGTGAAACCCTGTCTCTACTAAAAATATAAAAATTAGCTCAGAGTGGTGGCACACACTGTAATCCCAGCTACCTGGGGAGCTGAGGTGAAAGGATCGCTTGAACCCAGGAGGCAGTGGTTGCAGTGAGCCAAGATTGCACCACTGCACTCCAGCTTGGGCGACTGGGCAAGACTCTGTCTCAGAAAAATAAAATAAAACTGTTTATAAAAAATATACAACATGAGGATGCAAAGACATAAGAATGATACAGTGGACTTTGGGGACTCAGGGGAAATGATGGGGGGGTGAGGGATAATAGACTATACGCTGGGTACAGTGTACACTGCTCAGGTGATGGGTGCACCAAAATCTCAGAAATTACCATTAAAGAACGTATTCGTGTGACCAAACACCACCTGTGCCCCAAAAACCTATTGGAATAAAAATAAGTAAATAAATAAAACATTCTATCTGACTTTTCTGAGACTATCTCTTTCTGACATTTAAGTTAATCTTCTAAACATCAAATTACCCAACACAATCTTTCATACCAGAAAAACAAATAAGTGGCTTCTCTACTGGACAAGATAAAATGCTCTGCCTGGAACAAAGCAAACTTTACAGTTGATTGTAGTTTAATAATATACTTTTTAAAATTCCTGTCAAGCAATTTGGTAATAGATGTCATTTTTTAATTTTTTCTAAATTTGGTGATAGATTTCAAAAGCCATAAAATGTCTATATCTCACTTCAACGAGTTTCATATCACTACACAAAAAGCTATATATGTTGTAGAAAAATGCTTATAATATTTATGGAAAAAAATCATGTTACACATGCCATGTTACCGTGTTCACAATTACATTAAAATGTCTATTCACATGCAAAAGGCCTAGAAAGAATTAGATAAAAATGATATCAGGAAAAAAAGTTCAGTAAAAATATAACAAGCTTCTGTATATCATTGGTCATAAGCCAGAAGTGATTTTTTAAATTGGATTCAGCCAGTGCTGAGTTTATATTCCTAGAAAATGTCTCACTCTCTTTCTCCAGCCAACAGATATGATTTAAAATTACTGTTTCTGCAACTCTTATCACTTCTCTTCAAATTCTCCCAAACTTGATCCAGGGAGACCTCCTCTGGAGATGAGAGAGAAGTTCAGTTTGAAGTTCAAACCTTAAGCTATGCCTGAATGACTCCAGTAAAGAAAAGCTCTCTTTTAAAATACCTGAGTTAGTGCCTCTCTTTGCATCTAGCTCATGCCAGCCAAACATCAGAGGCAACATAATCAGCTACACTTTTTGAAATTATGGGAAAGAAGTTCTCAACAGAATTATCAAAAAATGGAGAGCTAACTACTTGGGTCAGGTTCATTTGGCCCAATATATCTAGCTTGAAAATAAAGACTGTTTAGGAAAAGATCTGTTGCAAAATGAATTTCTGCTTCAGTAAAGTCTTAATAAAAATAATAATCATTAATAACCTTTGGAAAACCAAGCTCGTGTATTTATAAATGTAAGATATTACCATATTTCCCATTTTAACAATTCATCCTAGCAGTCCCTTATTGCTGATATTGACTCTGTAATATCAGCACTTTAGGCGGCTGAGGTGGAAGGAGCACTGTAGGTCAGGAGTTTGAGACCAGGTTGTGCAATATATCAAGACTCCATCTCTAAAAAAAAATGTTTTTAAATTAACTGGGCATGCTGGCATATGCCTGTGGTCCCTGATTTTCAGGAGGCTCAGGTGGGAGAGTTGCTTGAGCTCAGGAGGTTGAGGCTGCAGTGAGCTAGCTATGATTGCACAA